TTTTAAATTGGTTATCAACTAGGTTTTGTATTGCTTAAATGTCGGCATATTTATAACAGAGCTATTATTTTTTAAGAAATTAAAAAATAAAGTCTTAGGGGTAAATAGAAATTCCTGTGGAAGAGACTGAGAAGAAACAGGAAAGAGTAGGAGATTATAATGGAAAAATCTGCTTTACAAGTCAATCAGGAGGTAGGCTTGAAATATGATGAAACTTAAAGGTGTAAAATAAAAGAGTTAAAATAGATCTTGACAAGTCACTAGTGAGCTAAGTATGAGCAACAAGAGTAACAGCCAGAAGAATGTTACAGCCGTTATTTAAATGTCCCTCCAAAGGCTCCCTGCGTTAAAGGCTCGGGTTGCCAGCTGACAGGCAACTGGCACGTGTTTTGATCATGAGCACTAAATTTATCAGCAATTTATAATTTGGTGCCCTTTTAGGAGGTGACAAAAAGGACATCTGGTCAGTTTGAAGGAAAAGGTCACAGGGTATAAACTCGGCTCTCTGTCTACTTGTCCACTCCTTTCTCTCAGGCTCTTTTCTCTGTTTCCTGGGTGCCAGGAGGTGAACTGCCTCCCCCTGCCAAGCCCATCTGCCTGATGTTCTGCTATACCTCAGATGGGAGCAATGCAATGCCGTAAGCTGACACCTGTGAAACTATGGGTCAAAATAAACTTTTTATCCTTTGAATTTGAGTTCTTTCAGGTTTTCTATGGTAGTAACTAAAAAAAACTAATGAACATAGGGGTATAGGAAAGGTAATTACCAAATATAAATGCAACTAAAAATACAGTGACAATCCTTAGGGTACAACAGGTTAAATAAAAAGAATTCTTATCGTATCAAATTTATTTTGTCAAATGAGGTTCTGAGGCTGCAAAATAAGTACCCTGACTTTTAATGAAGAAAGAATCTTAGATTTAGAGCACTAACATATTCCCTATGATTAAACAGGTTTAGGTTATAGGTCAAAGAGCTTACAAATTTGAAGGCTTCCAATGTTTCCTTCTAGACTAATTCTGATTCCAGGAAAATAGATGAGATCTAAATGGTATCAAATTATAAACGTAAAGTCAAAGGAAAATATAAATTAATTATTAATGTTGACTGTAACCCTAATCTGTATTACCTATTAAAACTATTAAATTAACATTACTAGGAAAATTTTCAATAAACAAAAAAAGTGAGAGTGAGGGCCAGGGAGTTCCATCCCTGGTACAAAAAAAAAAAAAAAAAAAAAAAAAAAAAAAAAAAAAAAAAAAATGAGAGTGTTTTCTTACCAACTTTTGCTTTATATTTTTAATAAATCATAAGTCTTGCCCAAAATAGGAATTTTAGGTGTCTACTGCATTTGACTTTTCTCAAGAATGATAAAAATGTTAATGACTTATTAGTGAAAAAGTGAAACTAAAAATTCAAAAATTGACAATATAATAATGCCTTTTATACATATATTTTCACAAAAAATTACCTTCACTTTTCTCTGCTATGCATCTATTCAATTCTTGTATTGTCGCTTTATCAATACATAAATGTACTTTAAGTTCATCCAATTCTTCTTGAAGATTCATCCTATGAAAATGAAAAAAGTATATAATCTGTCTTACATGAGGAAAAATATAGTAAAGAAATACAAGCAATAGAGATATTTTTAAAATACATAGAACTGAACTCAGAGTTGCAGCAACTGGCAAAATGGGGGCCCAAGATGGGCTCCTGCCCCCAACCCTGACGGGCTTGGGGACCTGAGAGCTGGGGGATACCAGCACCACAGCAGCACACTGGCGAGGGCACTTGGGACAGGCTGGAGCATTGGCCTGCCAAAGCCCAAAGCAACAGTAACACTGAGAGCCAGTAAGTGGTGAGGCCGGGACATGAGCTGTGTGTTGGGAACCAAGAGATGCAGAATGGAGGTGGGCAGACAGTGCCACCTTCTTTTCTTCTCCCTTTTCTTTCTTTTTTTTTTTACATGACTAGGGAGAATTCCAACCACAGGAAACTAAGCCCATTCCCAAAATCTAGAGATTAAAAGATCAGACCCACATCCAGCACAAATCCACCTGTAATCTTGGCTAGTGTACACATTCTGGGGTCAGACCTGCACATAGGTCACAACTGCAGATACTAAAGGATCTCACTGCTTTTACTTTTCTCTGTCTGATGGGTGTTCTCCCAGTAGCAGTCTACTGGGCTAGTGTGTTTTGTTTTGCTATTCATTTTAATTGTATTTTTGCTGTTGTTGGGTTTTATTTGTGTTTTCTTTTTTCTCTATATTCTCTTTTGCCCTGTTTTGCTTTTCTCTGTGTATGATTGGGATTTTTTTTTTTCATGTGCAATTATTTTTGTCTCCTCTTTTTTCTTTCCTTCTCTTTTCCACCTTCCTTTCTCTCTAGTTTAATATTACTTTCCCTTTGTAATTTTCCACTCCTCCTCTTCCTCTCTCATCAACTATCTCACTTGATTTTATGAAACTTTCATGTGAGTAAACACTATCTCTTCCCCCTTCTAGTTCACTTCAATATTGCTGATTTTTCTTTTTCAATCCCTTCCTATCTTATGGTTACCCAAAACTTGGATGATCTTCTATGCCTACCACATTTGCTTCTACTATATTTAACCCTATCTTCCTCTCCATCCTACACATACCCCTCTTAAACCTCCCCACAACCACATATAATCACTCTACTAAGTAGGTAAATGTTGTATACAAGTTTCATCACCATAGTCCAGTACTAACAAAATTGGCCTTTAGTCAAAAAGACAGCGACTTCACATTCGTAATATATTGGGATGGTAGGTTCTTAGGATGGACAGAAAGACCACGAACCACCTATATCTAGATGACATCACTGAGGAACAGACATCACCTAGGAAATATTCAACCCCTATGGGGATAATGCTATCTAACATGGGGCCAGGAGGATGGCTCAGTGGAATAAGCGCTTCCCTGGCAAGCGCAAGGGCCTGAGTTCAATTCCCAGTTCCACACCCCCCCAAAAAAGCTATCTAACACAAAGATTTTATAAGCATCAGGTCAGAAAAAAAAAACATTTTAAAAAGGATAAGAACAAGAAACAAGATGCCACCCAAATGCCCAGCACACCCAGAACAAATCCAGAGCACAAAGAGGAAATCAGAAGCCAATCACTAGAATTCTCTAAAATGACAGCAGCAGAAGCAAAAAAGAGCAAATGAACAAGGCCATAGAAAAAATAATATTTAAGGTACAAAAAGAATGACCATAAAAATGAAAGAAATTAAAGAAGACACTGATTAAAAAAAAAACAAAACAGGAGGTTAGGAAAAAGATGGAAACCATGAATGCCCAACATAAACAAAGATCAGTCAAACAGATCCAAATAGAAATCCAGGAGATTAAAAACTCCACTGAAAGTATACACAATACACTGAATAAAAGCAAGGATATAATGCCAAACCTAGAAGACAGGAATATGACCAGCGAGAAGGAAAAAAGTGGTATCTTAAAAATAACAAGAACCATGAAAAAAATCAATGAAATAGTTACAAGATGAATTAAAAAGAACAGCCTAAGAGTGATTAAAATCAGTGACAAAGTTGGAAATAGCACAATGCCATTAAAAAGCTATTTCCAGATATAAGGGCAAAAACTTCCCAAGCATGGATGAAGAGTCTGACTTACAAATAAATGAATCATATAGAATTCCAAATAGCCATGACCAAAATAAATCCACACCAAGGAAAATAATAAGCAGGATTCCAGAAGTTCAACAAATAACAAAATATTAAAAGCAACAATATTATCTTATTATCTTGTTCTTGATAAAAGAAACAAATCACCTATAAAGGAAACACCATCAGAATCAGAATTCTCAACACAAACCCTAAAATGAAGGAAAGCCTGGAGTCAGGTATTTCAAGCCCTAAAAGCAAACAATCTTCAAACCAGATCCTGTAAAACTATCTTCAAATTCAATGGAGAGATAAGATACTTCCATGAAAAAGAACAAATAAAGAATTTCATGATCACCAAACCAGCTAGCTCTATAGAATACTCTGAAGATCATATTGCTAATAGACGCTGAAGATCACAAACATACAAACACCAATATAAAGAAAACACCAAGCAGGACAAGCAATGAAACAAATGAGAAAGCAAGGAACTAACGAAAGGAAAGTAACATGAGAAAGATAAGCCAAGACGTACCAGTTATAGCCATCAATGCACATGGTCTCAATTCACCAATCAAAAGAAACAGACTTTCAGAGAGGATCAAGAAACAAAATGCATCAATATACTGTACTCAAGAAACACATTTAACTTAAAAAGAAAGTTATAGATTAAAAGTCAAAGACTGGAAAACAATTCTACATACCCCAGAAACCCATAAAAAAGCAGAGGTAGCTATTCTACTTGCAGACAGTGTAAACTTTACATCAAAACTGATCAAAAGACACAAGGAAGGTCACTACATACTTGTTAAAGAAAAAGGTCAAAAAGAAGAGTAACAATAAAAAACTATGCAATGAGTTGTCTCATCATTTAATAACCCACAGGTGTATTTGACAAAAAGTACTAAAAAATGTTATAACATATCACTGAATTCAGTCATAGTATATCTGTAAATGCTAAAATGAAAGCAATATACTTTTACTAGTACACTGTCACCGAGCTACCATGGTATTTGAACTGGATCAGTTACTACAAAGAATACCTCAGACCATGCAATCTGAGCAGAAATGAAAATTTATAACCAAGACCCTCCAATGAGGCTAGGAGACAAACTAGTATAAACTATAAGAAGCTGGGAAACAAAACACTGTTGAATGAAAAGCTGAATATCTGAACTTATCTAGTCAGGGTTCCATTAAAAAGAGTCTTTCTGCCCCACAGTCAGTTTGAAGGAAGGGCAAGGTCAACCACATCAGGCTGAGAATCCTAAGCTCCTTTTACTAAGTTCAGAATTGAGCCATATAGATTTATGGAAACATAAAGCATCAGCAATAAATCAGACCTGGTGTGCGGTTAGTGTATACTGCAGGATGCCAACTAACCCAATTGTTCTGCTATAGTTTGGTTCTCAGATATCCCCCAATAGCCTATGTGCTAAAGCTTATTCCCTCAGCTGGTGCTACTGGAAGACTGGGCCTTGAAGAAAGTCAAGGTCACCGGGGGATACCAAGAAGATTATGGGGCCCTCCTCCTCTTATTCTTATTCTTCCCTCCTCCTCTTTCACTTCCCAGCCATGGCATGAAATCCTTTGCTCTAAGATGATGTTCTACTTCAACCAAGCCAATACAGCCAACTGATCATGGCTGAAATCTCTAAAATTGTAACCCAAAATAAATCTTTTCAGCCTGGGGAGATAGCTCAATGGCATAAGTGCCTGCCTGGCAAGTACAAGGTCCTGAGTTAGATCCCTGGTTCCACAAGCTGGCCTGAAACAAGGTTGAGCACACCTGGAATCCCAGCACTGGGGAGGCTGAGACAGGAGGATCACTATAAATCCAAATTATGTAGTTAGACCCTGTATCAAAAAAAAAAAAAACCACCCACTTTTCTCTTTTAAAATGACTGTTTCTAGTACTTTTTTATAGTGATAGAAAGATGACTAACATACATCCTCCAAAGGCAGACTTCTAAAACTTACAAAATGGATAGAAGAAAGGCTACCACAAAATGTAATTGTCAGAGAAGTTAAACTTGGCAATCTCAATATAGGCCATCCTGCTCAAAACAGTACAAAAAAAGGCTTAACAGAACAATTCAAAATGTTTATAATTAATTCTTGTTTTTAAAAATAAAACAAATATACATTTAAAAAGAACAAGCCTGATGAAAGATAATCAAAAAAAATAAATAAATCTAGGAATGTTAAATAAAAACAATCACATAATAATTGAAATGAAAATCCACTGGGTAGATTAAGTTGCATATACAAAAAAGGAAAGGTGGTAAAATGAAAGACTACACAAAGAAACAAAAGGAAAATAGAAGTTTATGAAGTATGTTGGAATGAGAAGTTCAGAAAAAATCTAATGTAACATTTTCAAGGACAGAATGGACAAAAGTGCTGGGTGGAGTACAGAACAATAGTCCAAATACAAATCATAAAATATACGAATTAACAGATTAAGAGAAAATCAAAAATTTCAAGCAGAATAAGACTACTCACACCTAAAAACACCTTAGTAAAACCATAGCATATCACACAAAACAATTTATAAATTAGCTAGATTGCTAAGAAAAATCACTAAAATTTGGAGTAGCTGCAGACCTTTCACATAAACATGATAAACAAGAAGGAAAGCATGTTTTCCATATGTCATGACTTACTATGCATAGATGTTTAATGAGAGAATATATTTTAGAAGGAAAAAAAAATCTCAAAAGCAAGATATGAAAAAGTAGGGTCAGAGAGACGGCTCAGTAGAATAAGCATTTTCCTGGCAAGCACAAGGGCCTGAGTTCAGTCCTAGGTTCCATCAAAAAAAAAAAAAAAAAAAAAAAAAGAAAGAAAGAAAGAAAGAAAGAAAGAAAGAAAGAAAGAAAGAAAAAGAAAGAAAGAAAGAAAGAAAGAAAGAAAGAAAG